GCTCCTTCAAACACAAGTGCAGGCAACCAAGCAACAACTGTTACACTGAGATAGGTTAAAATGCAAGGAATTATAATGGCGCTCACTGTAATTAGAAACTAAATGGGTCTTGGTGTCTGTGATAACAAATAAGGAGCTTTACATACTCCATTTTATAGGAACTGTTCAAGGCAAAATAAAATAGCTCTTATTCCCTATGCAAATGCCAGACTCAAAACCTCTAAAACACATTCCGTTTAGTAATCCTTCCCATGTCTATTTTGTATGACCTTTGTTAGRCTTAATTAATGTTGCAAAATGCTTTGAGATTAATGAACAAAAAATGTTCTGTCAAAGGAAAATATTAGTGGACACACATTTTTGCCTGTGAAACATGTTACGGTAGATACAAAGGAGTCTTCACATTTATTAGAAATCATTCATAAGTAGCAACTTCGGAAATAATTCACACTAAGCAAAAATACATTTATCTAGATATATTTCCAAAATTTCAATTTTTAAAATTTACTTTTGGTCACTGAGCACACTCAGTGAGCACTATGTTCAACTTGTTTTCATGAGCAATATTCATTCTACAAGTGTATTTTCAACTTGCAGTCTAATGTTYCTAGCAAAGATTTGACACTAGAATCTTTATAAGTGACTACCCAACCTAAAACACAGAAATGACTCTTGGAAATTCCTATGGCACCTTTGTGGGGATGAATATTTAGGGATATGAATTACAATAACACTGTATTCTCCCTCTCTCTCTCTACAAATTAGCAGTAAACCRACCTTTAAAGCTTGAACAAACTTGCAAATCCAGGCCTATAAAACCTCTTCCAGGTTTGAAACAGAAGCAAAACACACAATATTTCAATTCAGATTGAGAACTGTGAATATAATTGCCTATGTTAATTATACAACACTAAAGAAAAAAGATGGGTTGGTCTTGTGAGGCAGTGAGTAACAAAAAGACATAAAACCCAGAGCAGCTGGTCAGGAAGATCGTCGCATGTAAAAATATTGCTGCAGTGCAAAGGAAATCTCCACTGACTGTATCCTCTTGTTTATAGCATATCAAGCTAACCTCAAAGTTAATTAATATAACTAAATATAGTGACAAATACCACAATAATATTTTGTCTGGAAAATCATCAAGGATGATCCTAGAAACTAAAGCTAACAACTCTGCTAGATATTAAAAATTACGGATTCAGTAAAGACTTTRGGTTATCTCATTTAATAATTTTTTTGTGCTGTAATATCAAATAATCCCTCAATTTTCTTCAGGTGATAATTATTCATATTCAGCACTAACACTGTATTTAGACAAAATCCTTTTGCAAATATAAAACGATGCTGCTGCCAGGAAAAGTACTCGTTTTTTCCACTACATTTTCACTTTTTGTTACAGTTGTTTCACACTTTTCCATAAGCTAGCAYAAAAATTTTTGTACAGCAACAAAATGAAGTGACTCTGTGACTGACCCACCCAAAAATTTTTGGAAAAAAAAAAGTGTTCCTTAAACTATGTCTCACATCAACTACTCTTGGGTTGTATTTATCTTTCAAACTCACTGCATCAATATCAGACCTAAAGCAAGGCTTATACATCTGAAGCCTTGACTAATTTTACAAACCCTATATAACAAAACAATAAAAGATATCACTTCACCTAGCAACTTTGTATCACAGTCTTATACTATCTATGTCTGCAATAGCACTATAACAAATAGCACCTGTTTCCATAGGACAATTTATTTCACAGCTCTGTTTTACCTTTCAGCATATTATCTGGGCTTTTCGGAAGCAAAAAAAAATTACCTTCCTAAAATAAGATTTTTAAAATCTTAAACAAAACAAAAAACTAACATTCTCTGCCTTATTTTATTTCCAGGCTTTCTACYTTTCAACACATTAAATATAGATACTTCACATATTGTGGCTTCCTTTTTGGCTTCCTTTCCCCTCCCCCYCTACTGTTTTTAATACTGTTCTCCATTTCATATAGAATAGATTTCTAAATTTCAGAATGCTCATTTTGCTAACAAAATAGATCTGTSATATGTAAGACAAGTTAAATTTACTGTTATGAAAATAAATGGTTTTACAATTGAGAAATTGGTCAGGTAAATAACCAGTATTGTTTAGATACTGCTGTTAATCTACAGTTTCACTAGAAATGTGTAATTACTATCAATTATGTAATGCCTCTCAGAGATTATTTTTCAGCCTTTTTCCTTCATTAATTGGCATTTTACAATGGCTTAAGCTTGTGATGACTATCTCAATTACCAGTATTCATCTAATCTCATGACTGGAGGAAGATCTCTCTTAATTGTAACAATTCTGCAAAATATTTTATCTTGGAAATAAATAATAAACAACATGTCCTATGTGATAGTAATTTTTTCTCCTCCGACTCCATTTTATGACATATTAAAGGAGTTTATGATAATAAAAATTCATTAAGTACATGTCATTTTAATGTTGAAATACACCTGTTCCCCTCTCATAGAATAGGTTTGAGAAAGTCAACATGACCTATATCTTGGTTCTAACATTATTTCAGTAACCAGCATGATCTGCTTACTTTCATGGCCCTATACTTCTTTCTTGCACCAAGATCACAAAAAAATAGGCCTCACAAATTATTTCTTTGTCTAGCTGTTTCCCTACTTGTATTTTTACCAGTCAAAGAGGAGGAATATTCTTTGCAAAGAAAAAAAAAAGATGTGCACCATTAAGAAAGCATATATGGAAAAAATTATTTCCAAGTCATATCCAAAAACAAAACAAAAAATACATATTTATGTTATGATTAAGAAGATAACCTAGGAAATCTAACTATAGTAACAGGTTTTTTTTTTTTACAGTAACCAACAATTGTGGATATAAAAAGATATAGATGTGAATTAAAAGCTTAGATGTAAGGCAAATTAGTCTGCTTCTCTAAGCTCTACCTGCTTGTTTTTCCTCAAGCAATTGCTTCACATTTGACAGCTCTGCTAGAGCCTGTTAATAGGATGAAGGTATCTCATTTTCAAGTTTCTAAAGTAAATATGCATGTTAGTACAAATTTGTTCATTTGTTTTTACACAAAYAAAAGGTATGGACTGGTGGGTGATACCCATTTACTACAGAAGCTTTCAAAGGGAACTGCAATTTTGTGAGACTGAAATCTGTACAGGACAATTTAGTATAGATTATAATATGGACAGAACAAGCAGGCAGCTGAATAAATAYCATCTACATAGAAAGTGGGGATTGGGGCATCAGTACGACTTCCATAATGGGAAGTCCTATATTACAAAACTCCTGATGGTCCATGAAAACATCAATGAGTATGTGGACAAGGATGATCTGGCTCAAGATTTAATTAATAAACAGCTTTCCACAAAATCCCTATACAGATAATCAAATGGGAAAGAGAAAAAAGTTTTGAGCCTAAAAAATTAGCAAAAACTCCTGTTTTTATAAAATGTGTAACTAGACTAATAGAGGTAAATGGCATAAGTCTACCAAAATTCAATAAAGATCGGACAGAGCTACATTACTCACAAAACACAAGGTCAGTGTAGATCATTCAAAACTACACTGCACTAACTCCAGTTGCAGCAATGTGGGACTCACAAGATGCCCTTTAAGTTATTAACATGTTATCGTGGTAGCCTGATTCCCTTGCATTAAAAGGCAGGTGTAGGAAAGAAACTCTGCACAAATCTACTGCTTACTAACTGAAGTGTTTTATGGAGTGTTTATAAGTGTACCTAGAGACCTCTTGTATTGTAATTCATAGATTAAAACCTTTGTAAAAAATAAATCTTTGTAACTAATTCCTCTTTAGCTTTATACAAATACTTTCCTTTGATACTCTTTAAAATTTAAAAACTTCTTCAGTGAGTCATGTTGTTCTACCTCTTCTTCTTAAATGAAGATATTTACCTCTAAACACAGCCTTATACAACTACTTATACAACTAYAACTGCTCCTTAATCACTCTCCTTCCCTATTTGCCAAAGCAGATATTTTAAGTAGTAACTAATGTAATTATGTCTTGCTGTTCAAATTCATAGCAGCCACCCCACACTCACAAAGATGGTATGTTGACATGCACATAAACACAGGCTTTCTAGCCTCCTTTAAGTAATATACATCTCTGAAAAAAGGACATGGAAAAAAAAATATTCCATCCTCTTAACACTGTTGTGGTACAACCAAAATTCTTTCTGGTTGAAAGCAAACAAACAAAAACCACAACTACAGCTTAACTTTAAAATACTGTATATATATTAAAAACCAACCATCAACCATAGATGCATACCTGGAAACAGAAATTGTCCAGAAGAACAGGCATTCTCTTTCCAAGCACAAACCTCCYCCTCATACCTATATTTAAGCTTTTAACTTTTAAATATAAACCCCACCACCCCCCAAAAGAAGCTTAAGACAGCAAGCAGCAACACATATGTCTTTATCACTTGCCCTACCCATCTTCACTGGCCTTTTATCCATTTCCCAGAGCTAAGGCCATCAGCTAAACCTAACCTGAAACACCTGTGTCTGTGGTCTTGTGGTGATATAAATTAAGTGCACACATTGACTCTTGCAGAGTAGTAGTCCCTACTTTAAATGTTGAAATGAGTTTGCAAGGTGTGCTTGAGGCACTGCAGAGACTGGGGAGCGCTTTGTAACTTTATTTTTCCCTCGCTTCTGAACTGTTTTCCTTCTCTGTGTCAAACAACGCGGCACTATTGCCTCCCGCGCCCAGCAGCAACCGCCGGGCTCGTTGCGCAGCCCCGGAGCCCAGCGCGGGCACCGCAGCAACGAGACACAAAATGGCGGCCGCCTCACCCCGACAGCGGCCCAGCACTACAGCTCCCATGGTGCCGCGCGCGGCCGCCCTGCCTCGAGAGCGGCCCAGCACTACAGCTCCCATGGTGCCGCGCGGCGGCCGTGGCTCCCGCCGCCTCTCGTGAGGCGCCGTCTCGCGCTCGCGAAGGTCGCGCAGGGCAGAGCGCCGCGGAGCCGCCATCGCCGTCGCCATCATGCTCGCCGCGGCGGTGCGCAGGTTTGCCACCTCTGCCGTCCGCAGGGGCCACTACGAGGACGGGCCCGGGAAGGTGAGGCGGGGAGGAGGCCCCGGGCCGGCCCGGGGGTGGCGGGGAGGAAAGGGCCTGCGTGAGGGAGGGCAGCGGCTCCTCGGGGACGGGGCGGTGGGAGAGGCGCCCTTGGAGGACACTGCGGCGGGCGAGCAGGCACCGCTGCGGCGGCCACGGCCYGGGCCGAGCTCCCGGCGAGGGGCAGCGCCTTTTCGGGGCCCGCGCGGGTGCCCGAGGGGCGCAGGCCCGTCCTGCCGCAGGCCCTGCCCAAGGGGAGCCCAGGGCCCCGCAGGCCGCGGCGGGGCTTGGTCTGCACTTGGCTCTTGTGCTCCCAGCGAGGCCGATGTGGCCGGGCGCAGGCTAATGGATGTCCTTGAGCCAGTGTCCTGGCCGGCACTGGGGGGCTCTGCACTTTGTGGCGTTCTGCATGCCCTTCACTGCTGCCTTCGGCGCCCGTGGTACAGATGATGAGTACTGCAGTATGAGGGGACACAGTGATACTGTAAACGCTTTCTGATGTACCATAGCATGATGTCTTAAAATGCTACTAAAAGCTAAYTGTGCACACCTAATTAACATGGGCATATCCAATCAAATGTTAGAAACGACCTTTTCAGAATGACAGGAAGTACATACGGGAACAGTTTGCATAGCCAAACTGGATTCCCCGTGCTCAGAGGCACTTAACTGGAGAAGGCCCTGACCCAAACTGGTCTCCTTGGGCTCTACTTGGAGGTGATGAACCAGGTGACCTGCAGTGATCGCATCCAGTCTAAGTGGGCCTCCCTTCACAGGAGGGAGGAGAATTGTTTGATGAATGAATGTTTTGTGTGTCACCTTGAATCTGCATGGCCCTGGGCATCTTGCTGTTATCAAGTGGTGAAGAAGCAATTAAGTTATCCTATATTAATTGCAAAGTTAAAATTTAATTTCTTTTCTAGAATATTCCATTTTCCATTGAAAACAAATGGCGACTACTGGCAGTAATGTGTGTGTTTTTTGGAAGTGGCTTTGCTGCCCCTTTTTTTATAGTCAGACACCAGCTCCTTAAGAAGTGAAGAGGATGGAATGTACTCCTGCTGACTGGGTAACTGACTTTTTAAATACTCAAACATTGTGGGATCTGTGATCAAAACAGCTTAACGTGTCAAAACACACCTACAAGTTGCTGTAAGTAACAGGCCTTCCCAGACCAATTGCTCAGAATGTGTGGTCTGAAGTTGCTGCCTAAACTGCTTAAAATTGTGAGAATAGGTTTAATTTGTTTCACATGACTGCTGACCTGTCTCTTTTTCCTGTGAATTCTGACTGCSCAGAGGCTGTGTTTTTCTGCAGCTCCTTGGTGGCATGCAAATAGGCCGTAGAGTGGCAATTTGCAAAAAAATAAATAAAAACAGATCCATCTCCTTTAGAGCAACTAGGCTATACCTAGTATAGTCTGTAGGAGTATCTGGCACACGTGATGTGGACACAACAGTATGAGGCAACTATGACACTGTAAACGCTTTCTGATGTGCCAGTTAAAGGTGGGAAACAGAATTTCCTGAAGTTCCATTTTACTGTGGTAAATAATGGTGATGCCCATGCACAGCACTCATTTGTTTGCCATGTAAAATGCACTTCCTAAAACAATGTTTTTAAGGCTATTTTGTCACAACTGATGCTATAATAACTGATGCTTCAAGACCGATGACCTCTGCAAACAAAGTAAGCCTCCAACACTGTTTGGCCTCTGTAAGCATGCTGTTTGCAGCTGAAAGGTTTCTGCAATTTATCCAAACTTAACTGATTCTGTTTTGCATATAACTGCTAATTCCATAATTTGAGAACTATCAAATCTTTCTGGGAAATGTGGATGACCCAAATATCTCTTGGAAGTGAATGTAATGCTTACTGGTATCTCATAACTAGAAAAAAAGTATAAAGTTTATTGCCATTCTGATACTTTTAGCTACTTAGCTTTTCTTTCTCTTTTTTAAAGTTTTTAAATCTGTTAATTTTTCCACTTTCTCTTGCAGCATTGAAGCCTTCTACACAGCAGCTCTCAATGGAAAAAGGATGACTGCAATTGTGTAACATGCTGGATGTGTCTGTAAATAAATCTTTAATCTGACTGCCCGGCTGTCTGTTTTGTGAAACTCCTGAAGTGCTTATAGAACTGGAGTACAGTCCTTCAAACAGCAATGAATTGACATTAAAGACCAATATTTCTCTCTAGTTCTTACTTATTCTCCCTTTTCCCTCCATCCTCTTAAAGATGAATTTAGGTTTAATGGAGTCTTAGAATGAACTGGGTATTTAAGTCACTTAACATGTTATGTGGATGTCTCGGTCTTCACATTACTCACAGAGTCACGATGTGGGATAGTTGAGCCCATACGTCTGACAGCAGGTATACTGTCAGTGTGCCACAGAACTTGTCTTCAGTACTTCAGGTTGATTAGTTGGGAAYACTCTTAACTTGGCTTTGCTTCCATGCTTAAGAGCCTCGAAAGAGCTTCTGTTGAAGCTCTTCTGTGAAGAGCTGTTGACTGTCTCTTGAGTAAGCTCTTAATAGCTGCTGAGAACACAGGAGTTGCCCCTGTGAGGACATATAGTTGATTTCATTAGTCTACAAGTGGTAAAGTGGCTAGAAACAAGTGTAGCAGCAATGATTACCACTGCTGCCATAAAACTTTTGATAAAGAGATTTTATAGCTTATAAAAACTTAGTAATTACTTAAAATTAGTTGCTRTAGGGAAAGAATCAGTATTTTTAAATTTTTAATTTGAGAGCCTTAACACTGAATCATTAAGGGCAATCTCAGAACTAGCCCGACAGCTAGTGCTGTCAGAAGTTTTCTTCCAAACWGAATATGATCATCATTAATTTAAATTAATGGCCTTGTTGATGACATAGGCAAAAGTCCATCTTCATTGCTGTCATAATACAGGGATACATCTACTTTTTTATCTATCTTTTTTATCTATTATATCTTTTATCTTTTTCATCTAAAACATCTATTTTTCAGCAGCTCTTGATTGTGACTGGCAAACCACATTACATCTTAAATGCCTTAGCCTTACCAAGTATTGGTTATGCTCTACTTTTAAATAATGATGTTTTGAGTTGCTTTCTTTGCGTGAGGCTGCGTGTATGGTTTTCCCCTAAAACAAGCTGCTGTTCAGTAGGAGCAGGGTTTGCAAGATCTGTCAGTCCATAGACGTAAAGGCATCTTTCACAGATGTGGGGGTTTTAGTGTAGTTCCAGCCTAGGCTAATACCTCTTGATCATCAAATAAGATCAGTGGAAATGTATATAAGAAATAGAAGTTATCACAGTGGTAATGAGGTGTCCCATGGTATCTTCCTCATGGTATCTTTAAAATTATGGCTAGTTTTAAAACACACCCTTTAAACAGGGTGGGAGTCTCAGTTGCTTCCTGGTGCAAAGGAACAAGTCTGGCTCTGGTGTGCAAAGGAATAAGGGAAGCCCATTACAGGTAGAAAATTTTCCATCATACAGTGTATGACACTGTATTAAGTTTATATTAAGGGATTATATTGTTCTCTACAACATTAGTTGTAGAAGTTGTAGAAGCTCCACCTTCAAACTTTAAGGATATGATAAGAGAATAACATTTTTGTAGTTTCTTCCCCAACCTTTACACTTAAGTCCCTAATAGATTAGTTAAGATCCAACGTCATATGTGAAGATTTTTCTTGATCTGCTGTTCCTTTGATCTTAAGATCTTTCTGAATATCATTCCCTTCCTTGTACTTTAAAATATGTTTTTGAGCATGGGTGGCTAAACTTGAATGGTTATATTAGTTGAATGTTTAGAGTCTTCTTTCTCCTAGAGTGTATTCTAATCATCTCTTTTATAGCATTGTTATTAGTGATGATGGATTAGAGTCATTTGGGAGCAAATTGGTCTCCAAGGCTGCTAGTTTTTTAGGACTGATAAAATTATGACCCTGTTTCAACCCCACCACCTTATAAAAATTACTCATGAGTATCACTACTAACCTTTGATTTCATGCTGTTTTTATTTAATCTCTGTTACTGCAACTGTAGGACATACTGTGGGGTAAGARCTGGAACTGCTGCACTAAGAGTTGCTTTCCAGCTTGCATCTRTTGTACACTCCTGTTTGCCAGTAAGAATAATATAAAATTAATCCACATCCTCCCCRCTTTGAGTAGATTAGCTGAGTAAATGTATCATGTTAACCATAAACTAACATTTGATAAACCCATGTTTATGGGGTCCCCTTTCTAATTCCTTTAGAAAAGTATCATTAGTTTTTCTTTCCAGGTTTAGTAGAACTCTGTAGCTTTCTTACTCTCATCTGTTCACTCTTTTCATAGTTCCCTATAAGAACACTTACTGGATTTGAGCTAGACACTTCACCAATTATTAGTGTGTATTTTTTAATGAATTGCCTGTATCTTTAAAGTTTCCAACCAACTAGCCCTTTCCTCCGTTACTGTGATGTAGCACTGTTCATACTTTCAAGGCTCTATCTAATTTGTTAAGAATGGGACTGTTGGTAGGCKTCCCTTGAGCAATTTTTAGAACTCTCCAGTGCTACCAGTCATCAAGTCCATAAATTACGTTTGACCTTATTTCAAAACTTCCAGCTCTAACAGAAGCAGGTTATCAGATCTGTTTTATCTTTGTTAATGCAAGCTGAGGTATTCTGGTCACGTTACCCAGACTTTTAGCTGAGGTATTCTGGTCACGTTACCCAGACTTTTTTTTTTTTACTCACTCAAAAAAAATGAAGTAGTGAATTTGATTGTTTTGGTAGAAACAGTTTTCATCTGCACCTATTAATATCAGATATGACAGGATTTAAGTTTAGTTATTCTTTAAGACCCTCTACTCTTCTGTAGTCTTACCAACTGCTGAACAGGTTACCTAGAACTAGAGAAACTGGAGGGAKATGTACCAAACCCCCACCCTACTACTACTAATCATTGCTCACGCCATCCTGCACATTCAGCTGACACAGCCCCTCAGTGGTGAAAGACTGTGGCACCAGAATAGAGCAGAAAAAGTGATCACTGGTGGAAAACCCTGTGTTGGGTCAGGAAGAAGAAAAAAAAAAATTTTTTTTGAGATAACAGCAGACCTGGTTGCTTGTCACCTCTCTCTTTTGTTCAGGAGAATGGGAGCAGCCCAGCAACCCCCACTCAATATCTGAAACTATTGCATTTTTTTTTCCCATTTTTCTAGGTAGAATGAGAACATCCCACGTGGTGCCTGGAGCGTGRCACACCGCTTGCATAGCAAGAGGCRCTCTGGCATTTKTGATTATGTTTTCCTCCCTTGCTGTAGAGAGGTTAACATCTTTGTTGCCKTTTTGATTACCTACTCCTGTACGCTGAGCAGATGTTTTTGTTCGTCTGCTCACAGTGACACTTGCCTGGGTGATCACGATTAGCTCCGAGTGTGTCGCTTCGTACCGTACGAGAAATGCAAATTGCTGATTACCTTGCAGTTTCAACATGAAGGAAAAGTAGACTATTATACAGGAAAAGGGGGAAAGGAAGGAAGATATGTGGAAAATACTGCTAGTTCCACACTGAAGAATTTCTACTGCTGCCATCTGGAAGCTGTGACTGCCGCACAGTCGACCCAAACTGCTGTTAGTCAACTGAAGAGGRAGGTTGGTTGGTTGATTTGGTTTGTTGGATTGTTTTCAATGGAGAAAAAAACTCAGAGCACCAACTTTCGACAGCTCTTCCAGTAAAATAAAGATCAGAGATCTTCCTTTTTCCTGTAAAGAATAGAAATGTCAAAGTTTGCTCAATTACACCTTGAAGCATCAGGCACTAACCCATGTTGGGGGCATGGCATGAGGTTTGATGCACTGCCCTTCTGAACCAAGTGAGAAACCTCTACGTGACACATACTGGTCTGTCACTACATGTGTGATACTGGTGCACGAGAAACCTGCCTGGGGCAACTGGGCCACGTTTTCCCGGTCTGAATCTTAGCTCCCTAGGCTAACCACAGCCCTTTGAAGGGATATGATGCCTTAGGCAGTAATTAGACCATGAGTTATTCACACACACAAAAACTTTGTTTTTGTCATCAATTAAGTAACACAGCACAAATCCTTTCTAATATAAATTAAAGCTACTCCATTACTGGGAAGGAAGGCCAGGGTTGTCTTGGCAGCCAGAAATATTTATTTCTGCTGCACATTAACATAGGAACACAAAGCAATTTAGAGGTTTATAAACAATTTGGGCCTCAGCAAGGAAATATGGAAGTGGAGTTGCGGTTGCCACGACAACCAAGCGAGGGGCGGCTGGTGTGGAAGGGGAGTGGCCCAACGGCTGGTGTGGGAGGGGAGCGGCCCAACGGCTGCCAGGCCCCAGGCCGGGCTAGCGCAGAGGAACTGGTGCTGCCCTTTGGAGGCCAGGGTTGTGCACGGGCTGTATTGCAGCTGCCTGGCTGACTGCCAGAAGCCGCCTATAGTGGTATCTTGGGTTATTACTTAAAAACATTAAATAGAATTGTCAAGGATAAATAAATAAATAAATAAATAAATAAAGCACCAGAAGATGTGATTCTATTAGCTTCCTTCATCTACGGAGAGGAAAAAAATACTTTTTTTTTTTTTTTCTCTCCTTCAGTTTCACGGACAATAGAGCTATAGAGGGTGAAATGATTCACACAAACACACACACACACACACACACACACACACACACACACTCCAAAGTCATAGCAGAGCTGGGACAGAATCAGCTACCCTGTGTTTTAAGATCCCTGCCCATTCTCCTCACACCGGAGTATGTCATATAGCCATAAGAGGTGTAAATCATTATGAAATTATTATTTTGTCAAAATATTAAATATCCTGACAAGGGGATACGAATGGATTCTCCACGTTAAGGTGACCWTGCAGTGGGCATGGGGAACACGGTAACAGGGCAGCCGGCTTTGTCAGGCAGCTGTTCTGAGCGCCTGCTCCTGCAAACGGCACGTGCCAACCTCCAACCAGCTTGACTTGTTTTTATATAGCAGGAAGGTAACTATTAGTTGTTATCCAGCATAATATGCTAGTAAGTTTGACATCCATTTAAATAAATCTAAAATAATAGTATTTAGAGAAATTACTCTGCTGCACTGCCCATTTGCTGTTTCAGCATTCGATGAATAACSTTATGCTCTTTTTTTAATGCCACTGCCACCTTTTCCATTAGCTATGTGGAGCACGCACTCTGAAAAATGCCGTTGTATAAATAGTGTTGCAGAGAACCTAACTGAACTTCTAAGAGCCGGCAACAAAACCTAGACCTGTACCTTGCTGGTAAAGTGATGGGAAAAAAAACAGAATAGGAGAGGTTGAAGGCGAGGCTGAGGGAAAAGATTGTGGTCAAGGCTTATGAATATTTTCCCCTACATTTTTTGACTGCACCATTGGAATCTGGAATTGCTCCAGATGCAGCATTGCAGAAAATTGTTTCCAACCAAACAGTGACAGCTCACTCACGTCTCAAGGCACGTTGAGCTCTCGGATGCCTCTCCCCAGCCCAGCTGGGAGTTTTAAAATGCCAGCTTTCCAAAGCTGGGGAGGGAGACAAGGTTGGCATCCTATAAACTGTATCTTCCCTTTCCAATTTGGTTGGTAGGACCAAGGAGGGGGGTGGATTCTGCAAAGGTTTTGAAGATACTGCAGCATTGAACGCGCAGCTGTCTCGCTGTCTTGGTAGGGAATAGAGCTGTTCCTTGCAGTTCTGCTCTACTGCAAAGGGAAGGTGCCAGTGACTGACAGCTTATTTGGAAGAGACCTAATCTTAAGTAACGGCAGACGTGCCTTCAAAATTAAACTTTATGTAAGTCCTGTCTTCACACGTTGCTTTTAGATTAAAAGAGTCCTTTAATTTGAAATTACTAAAGTATCAGTTCAATTTAAATTCACCTTCAAAGTCAATTACTGTAAACCAAGTGACCAGTTACTCTAATTCTCTTAACAGTGCGTCACCTAGAACTTAATTAATCACTACTTTAACTAGTTCATTTAAAAAAAAAAAAAAAGAAAAGAAAAAAAGCTAATTCAAGTTAATTTTCCCGAGGTTTGCTAAGTAGGCAACCTTAAGAATGACMTGTGCAAAACTCAGAAAGCTAAATTATCCTGTAGTGTTATGTGAAAGAGTGACAATCTGTATTTCAGGGCTTGTTCTAGTGAACACTTAAATACAATTATATAAAACTAACTCTTTACATTCAATGGAACATAAACTTAGGTCTGCTATCCTAGTAAAACATCCTAGCCATACTTCTCATGCAATATCCCTTGCAAGTGACCCTTGAAATTTAGGATAGCCCTAGAAGGCAGTACTGAGAGAAGACCCACATCAGTCTATACCTTATATTCTGTTGGTTAAAATTCTCTCTCAGGAAGCTGAGGGAGAGTTTTAGACTGAACCTAAGCCTCTCGTATCCTGTATAAAGGCTTCCCTAGATAGGCAAAGACCACGTCCTGCTTCTTTCTCCAGCTAAATGCGGAGAAAGCAGTAAATGCAGAGAAATGCGGTTGTTAGCAGTAACCATGCTAACACCTCCTAAATCAGGTCACATAGCAGAGAAAATAACTACATGTTCCAATTTCAAAAATGGCATTGCAAAAAAAGATATATTCTAGAAGGATTTTTGAAATTATAGGAGAAAGAAAATGCAATCTGTCATCAGTGACTTAAAACATTCATTTCTTCAGTAACACCAACAATTTTCAGATGGGATTACTAAATGAAGTCTTCGGTCTGCCTTAGAAATCAATGACCTTTGAAAAATTAGTGACCAAATAGAAATAGTGGATGACTCAGGGTAAGTTTATTGACCAAAGAAAGAAAACAAAAGATTTAACACCTCACTAAAAATGAAAGATGGGAGGGGACCGCAAAATAAGAGATACAAAGTTAACATTAAAATGGCCCACGTCTGCAACAAACCAGACCTCAGGAAAAGAACCCACAGCAGGATGTTCTTTCCTGTCCACCTATGACCTATTTTTTCATAAATAAATAAATAATTCTGCAAAGCCACTTAGTGAACACTAGACCCATCTAGAGTAGATAAAATTATACTTCCAAAAATTAAAAAGTCAACTAAAGGTCAATTTAGGAAAATTTTGGTTTGTGTATTTAAAGACTATTGACATTCACCCAAACATTTTCCATTTCCACAAAAGTTTCTTTTTCACTGGCCATTTTGATAGCACCTGTACACTATGGTTCCCTGTTGACATTTCCCTATTCTGTAGGGCTTAGCCATAAAACCTTAACTTCCTGTAAATTCATTCTTTGTAAAAAAGGGGTTATTTTCACAGCTCTGCAGTATCCGAATAAATATTGTCTATTCCTACCTCATGTCTTTGCGCAGTTCAAGTGGTCTCGTATGAAAGTCCAAAGGACCACAATTATTCTCATATMTCATTTTCACAACAGACGGTGGTTTTACACTGCTGGGCTGCCATAATAAGARTTAGAAGAAGAAGAAAATTGAAATATATGCTCAAATATTTGCCAAAAAATTAAATTTTATGGAGAGCTGCCAAAGAAAAGGGAAAGCATTTCCAGTAAACCACCCAACAAATACTGCTCATTCATTCCAAGAGCCTAAAGACCGGAGTATTCCATTTGGTAAATTCAGATGCAAGAGTACTTGGATTAGATATCTTTTTGTGTAGTTACGTGCAGTTACTCAATTTATCTGTAGTGTCTAGAAAATAATTTGTCAAATGCCAGACTACCTTGAGATGCTGTTAGCACTAAAACATCACCTGTCAAAAAAGAAATGACTTTTCCATAAAGTGTACTTCTAAACGTTGATAAACTTATGTGAAAGCAGATAAGAATAGCAAGATTTACCATACAAGAGAAGCGGTGTCTCTGCACCATCAGGTACCTTCACATTCTCTGATGAATAAGCAATTGAAGCCGTAATTGTTTGTGCATCCCTGCAAATGTCAACAAAATCAAACATCTGTCAGACCAGATGAGGAAATATGACTCAGTTAATATACTTAGCACTCCACTCATCCTTGAAAAGGTCGCTGAGACTTTAACAAGCGGTGCAGAGCTTACTAGCTTCTGGTAAATGACCRTGTTGCAACAATAAAGTTATGGCCATGCTTTGCTCCCCTTCAGCTGTCATATTTGGTTAAGAAAACACATTGTATTTAGGACAATCCGTTCAAGTCTCCTTTTCARTTATGACTGACCTTAAAATAAAATCATTTTTACCTAAGTAATGCTCACATCCCCCTGTGACAACCCCCTAAAATAAGCACAGAGCACAACAAACATACAGAGGCAGCATTTAGTTTTTGCCCACCTTCAGTGGTAACAAACAAAAATTCATGCACAGTTCAAGAGTGGCTTCAAGCCATCAGCTACTAGCAGGTATTGMTCGCCAGCCAAGCACACAAGGGCTAAAGACCCTCTTGATTACGGTTTGGCTCGGTGCATCACGCTCCTCGATCCAGCTCCGAGTCCTGCCGGAGACGGATCATGGCAAAGCCTGCTTGTTATCCTTACTCACCTTCCCCAACAGGCTGTTTGGGGAGCCCGTGAATGTCTCCCTTAGCACAGAGCTATTTAACTGCAATCTGATCTTTTAAACCCATTTCCAATGCCCTTCATTACTCTCCTTGTCCTACATCCAAAGTAAATGCTAATTTCAATACCATTTAGGGATGAATACAGGCACGTTATGAAAGAGAAGATCATGCCTGCTTCAGCAGGCAGCGCTCAAGTACAGGCTACAGCTCCTTGGTAATATACTTAATTTTTTGTTTGATAGCTAATACAGCCTAATGCAAAAATGTAATGCCTTGGGTCTCATTTGACTATAAAAACCCCTGACAAAGTGTTAATATTCCTGGTACTGATGAGTTCCTTCTGTCCCTGCTTGAAATAAAGAAGCTAAGCCTGGAAGATACCGTTATATAAGAGATCAAAATGATCAACATATGTCACAGAGTGGCTGGCAGGCTACATGAGCACAGATGCTCCAATCAGTTGATCGAGCCTCGGGCCAGCTGGTGGGAGCTGGCCCAGCTCTCATTCCTCTGTTCTTCTCCCAAGTATCTGACCCCAGAGCCAAATCTGGGAGCTGGCCTCAGAAATCCTTTCGTTATATATGGTCTGGTTTGGGTCGATATGTTAAAACTCTAAGTAAGAAGGTATGTGCTTTGGGTAAAGATGGTTTTGAGGATTAGATGTATAAATTAGGGAAGAGTTTATACAAATCCTGTAGGGAGGAAKGGAAGGGGAGGGGGTGATCTTCCTTGCTGCTTATTTCAGACATGCAAGAGATCCACAAGCCCCAGAGAGGGTAATGCTACTTGCAGAAAGCTTTTTCAGCCCCAAATCCCAAACCACTCCATAATGTCAGCTTGGTCTATACCTGCCAGCAATGGGAAATACAGATTACAACATTCAGTGCCAAGATTGATCAGTGTTCTCAGATGGACGACAAGCTGATTTGTATATCCAGTTCATTCCCAAGGACTCTCTTTGGGAAATAAGGAGGAATTTCAGATGGAATTCAGCTAAGAGCATAGCCAGCACTTGCATCAGGTTATTACTGCATTCTCTTTCAGGCTATTCCATGTGTTTAAGCCAGGCTTTCTTACTGCTGATACACTATTGGTAAGCAGAAAGCAACATCCAAGGCAGACCAAGGTATCACTATGAGGTGGTGGCCCATGACATTTAAATCTCCCATTCACGCGATTAGCCCATAGGAGCATTTGTTCCATTTGGCATCCTTCATATACACCATCCTAAAATATTTTGTAGTGTTTCCCCCAAATCCATATCATTGCAATATAAGTACATTTGCAGAACAGTAGCACCTTTACTTCTTCAAGCTGYATTATCACTCAGCAGCAAGATGAAGGATGGACAAGCCTAGTGTGGGCCTGGGAGCATGTACCATAACGGACCGTGTTCTCAGCTGGAATAAATAATGTTTAGTGCTTTACACGATGTGGGAGTGTGACTCCCATCTCACCTCAGWCACACATCAGAATGAGCCATGGCACTGTATGGGGGCTAGAAATGTTTCTGAAGGAGGTGGAAGCTCTAAGGTGTTGAACTGAGGGGCAGGGGAAAATCCAGAGGGTCTAGATGAGTAGCAGCGGAAGATCCGACTTGAGTCAAGACTGATGATTGAAGTAACAACAAAATAGAAACAAGGCAGGCTGCAGTGACTAGGAGATTCCAGTTAGCAGTGCAGAGAGCTTTTGCCAGGCAATTAGAGATCTGGAAGAGCTATACACACATCAGGTAGAATTAGCGAACAAGGAGAACCTCATCTTCATCATCACATAGAAATAGAGTTATCCGGAAAAGAGAAAAGCAAGACAACAACCCCCCCGTGTTTTGAAGGCCTGCTTCCTGCTCCTTTCAGTTCACACGTACTGCCTGTCCACATGCCACAGTGCTGCAGTCAGCCACATAGGCCAGCTGCCCCGTGTTCATATGGTGTGGCCTTCTGGATCCCCTCCCTCAGAGCCTGGGCTACTTGAGAGCACAAGACCCAAATTCGATAATTAACCCAAACCTTCCATTTCTTTAGGGGGAGGCAAGTTCCTGATGAACAGAAAGCAAATATTCAAAATTCCCATCAAAATTCCCGTAACAATGAAGGTCCAAAGCAAACAGGACTTTTTTTTGCTTTTGCTTGCACATTGCATGGACAAATTCAGAGAGGATCTGTCCCTCGGTACAAAATAAACATGGCAGCCCCAGTGCARTGTGAGCTCCTGACCAGAAAACAAAACAAAGCAAAAAAGCCAGGGGAGGAATTCTCTCTTCTGCCCCGCCGTCTCCTTATATGTTTATCTGCTGCTATCTATCCTCAAAACTGTGGAGGCGAGACCACCTTTGTCCTCAGCCAGTAAGAATGTTCTTATGAGAGCAAGGTTGAATATTAAACAACTTTTTACATGCACTTTAAAACTCTAATCTTGTTTCAAACCTGGCAATTGCATGATTAATCTCCATCAGGAAAATATATTTCTCTTTGCTTTATATTTTTACTCATTACTAAGGCTATTTTTCTACTTTGGGCCATATTACTATTTCATTTACTTAAATTGTAATGATTAAATCTGATTTGCTACTCCAAAATCTTAGTCCTACTGAAGAGTAATGGATATAGTACATAGTTCAGTTAAGGAACTGATTTGCCACATAACCTCTATTAAGTAATTCAATTTATTTCAATAAAACTAGTCAGTACATGAATGAAAAAAATCTATGGTAGTCTCGAGTTTCTACACAAATCATAATTTTTTGAACAAGCACCAAAGAGAGATTTTGACCCCTTCCTGAAGACATGACTTCTCACAGCCAGGAGTTATAAAAAAATTATGCAAGAAACGCACAAAAAAAAAAAATCCATAAGAAGCTACACATATTCTGGCTTTGCAACTATACAACTACGACCTTATCCCTTCCAAATATATAAAATCCAGCTTGAAAATACAGGAAACAGGGTTTCYATAACCACAGTGAACATAATTTCTCTGAAGAATAAGAAAAGAAAAGCTTATTACTAATAAAGTATTCTCACTTTAATCATGTTTCCTTCATTACTTCCATATTTTAGGTGATATAAAAGGAGGAACAATTATTGCCTTGTTCACTTTGATTTATTTGGCTCAAAGCCTCCTTACCTAGGTAATGTAAAATAAGCTGTGCTACATGGGTCATTTATGATGTGATTTAATAAGATGCTTTTTATTTCTACCCTGCAGGGAAACATATTAGTTTGCGAGCATCTGGCAAAAAAAAACCATTTTTTCTTTCATTCTCTATTTTATTTGAGTAGAGTTCAGCCTACAAGGTAATTTAAAGCTGCAATGCACACATTCTCATCAGGACAATCTACTAAAACAGGACTTCAAAACACACATAAGAAAATGATGCCCGGATGCCAACCTAAGAATAGTCATTACTACAGGCTTGGCCAGTTCCTAACTTCCTAAGGATATTTGTGTGTAAATTAAGACTTGTTCTTTTTCCTTGTCTGAAGTCATTAATGCTTTTCCTTAACAGCATGTGCCCTTTACAGATAAAATTCCGTATGTGCAGCAGGTACATGAGGTAGTCCTGTGGGTATAAAGCAGGGCTAAGAAATTGTTGCTCTGCAAACATGCTGCAAAAAATGCAGTCAAGTTTACTAGGCTCAGATTTACAAAGTCATTATAAGGAATTCGGGTCTCTGCTTCAGCTTTTTGAGGGTTCATTTAACTCCATACAGTGGCAATTACACTTAACTATTCTGCATTTGTGGCAAGGAAGTCAAATGACTGGGTTTTCAAGAGTGATTAGAAACCATAGGGGGAGATCCCCTGTACTGCCAGTGGAACAAACCCAGCCAGATGCCAGTTTCCAAGCATCACAGCAGTTCACACGGTAAGTCCCTGTTTCCTGTCACTCTGAGTTCTCTGGGATTGACATTTGAAATAAAACTGTATCTGCTTAGACTTATCCAGAAAGTGTTTTTCGAGTGAGAACAAAATAAACCAAAACACATGCCAAAACACATGCCACTTATTCTTTCCATTCCTAAAAATAAGTAGCACTTCACTGCACATTTCTACAGATAAACAAAATAAATCTTCAACTGTTTCCATTTTTTTTGGTCTATATCTTTATGTCCCAGCACTGGAGACTTATATATCTAGCATGGATTTTTCACTAGGTTTCAAGTACGCTTTAAGATCCATTCCAAGGGGAATTTATAATCCACTCTTTAAATGCCCAATTCTCAGAGAATATGGGTCTATAAGAACCTGCCACTTCTGCAGTGTATCCGAAGTTAATCCCCTCATGTTTGCCCTGTCTGTAGCAAGCCATGGTGCTGGCGCAGATGGGCGATCCTGAGCCCAGCCTGGCGCCCTAGTTCAAAAGCAGCTGAAGAGCTGGGTGGCAAGT